CAATTCACACCTTAGTCCTAAACCTAGCCCCTAACCCACCAACGGGATTTCTTCTTATGGGGCCCGGGCTTTGGGCCCCATAAGGAGCAGTTGGTCCTCACAATGCAGCATAAGTTGGAAAAATGGGCCTCACAAAGTAGCATAAACAAGGACACACACACACACACTCCCGCCGCCATCCTCATCAGAGAGAAAATCAAACTTCAGTCTGAGATTTGTGTTTTAAATAATTAAAACTTCACTTGAGTCTCTGCGACTCTTCGACTCTTTGTTTTATATTCATGGCTCAAAGTTTTAAACTGCAGCAGAAACAAACCTGCTCTGCTCGAAGGTGAGGAATTAAAGTTTAAAGACACGTTGAATCTTTGAGTTGTTCTATTCTCTGAGCTAAAAATAGCCAAACCCAGAGGCTGGAAGTTTTCAGTGTGTAACAGATCGAAATATGAGACTGAAAACAAATTATATACACGTGCTGTTGAAATAAGGATCTGGTGGTTCATCAAACACAAAGATGCTAAAGGGTTTTATATGATAAACATTATATCTGAATTTTTTTAATGCCTGAGGACTCTTTATGCCTCATAAATATCTCATTTATACCCAACTCAAATGTGTTTTCACAACTTTCGGACTATAAGGCGTATTAAGCAAATCAAGTTCATTCTGACAGACGTTTGAGCGTCGTGTACCACATACAATCGGTTCAAGGTCAGTAAACACGACCAGAATTAATATGTTTAATGTCGATTTTTGTGAAAATTAAAGTTATAGTATTTTTCGGACTTTAAGGCACACTTGAAATACTTTAATTTTCTCAAAAATCGAGAAATTTAAGAAAATTTGAGAGAATTAAAGTATTTTAAGTGTGCCTTATACTCTGAAAAATACGGGATCCGAGTCTTAACTTTAGGAAATTAATTAGAAAGCAAGGTTTTAATTTTTATTTTCATAAAAATAAAAAAGGTGTCTGGTTTCTTGGGGCCTTTCTTTGTAGATGTTAGCCTTTTTTTTGTGTCTGTTTGGAGCTGACCTAAAAACATTTACTGTGAGGTGAAAAACAAATTCCCACTTGTGCTTACACGTACTGGGACAGTGAGTCTGTATTACTTTAAGTTTGTCTAATATTCATCAACCTGCCATTTCAAACAATTTTATTTTTATTTTCCTGTTTTTAAAACCTTTAAAAACTGTTTCATCCAAAGTTACAGTGGCTTGCAACAGTTTTCACCTCCTGTTACTATTTTTTGTTGTTGCCTTAAAACTGCAAAACGTCAGATTATTATCCTGATGCTGCTCGATTCAATTTAATTAAATTCAAAACTATTTTATTAATCCCAAAGGGAAATTAAATTATTGTTGTAGCTCGTTATCCAGATTTCATTAAGATGTTATAGATGCTGATGGCTGTGGACACTCTCTTGTAAAGGTCTGTCCCACAGTGGATCCGAAGAAACTGGCCGCAGATGCCGTCCGATCCGTCCACCCAGACTCGGCTGGTGTCTCTCGGTTCCCCCGGGCTGTAGGACCGCCAGAATGCCGGGCAGAACTCCTCTCAGAGCGATGACCGCTCCTCCCAGCAGCCTGCAGAGCTCCTCGTCACTTTGGACAGCATGATGTAGGTGCCGGGGGACGATCCCGTCCTTCTGCTGTCACAAGCACGTTTCCTACCATTTCTAGGATCTCAGTGGTCAGGCACTCGAGCACAGCTGGCAGGGAGATGGGAATGCATCTACGGCGCCTCCTTTTCAACTCATTTGAGATTTTGGGCTGTAGCTGAGATGTTATTTGAGATATTAATCAGCTACTCCCACTTTTTAAAACCACCTTGTTGTCATGGTTACACATGATAACAAATGTCCAAAACTAAAACAAGTTTTTGTAAAAATCCTTCCAGCTGCTCAGCATCTGACACCAGAGGAAACGATCATCCAAAAAAAGTGATTTACATCCAGAAAAAGAGGAATTAAAGTTTCCAAAAACAAAATGTCAGAATGAAAGTAACAGAGCTGCTCCAACATGCAGCCACACTGAGCGGCGCAATAATATGTCTGTCTGATATGTTTGATGTCACATCACTCTTTACTTCCTGTTGATGATGCAGTAGAGGTGGTCAGTTTAAGATTAAAATCAGACACCACTCTGAGCAGCAGGACCACGCTTTCCACAGAACAACTGTGTCAACTCTTGAAACTGTGCCTGCAGTCAACCTACTTCACATATGGGGAGCAATATTATAGGCAGAAACATGGGTGTGCTATGGGGTCTCCAGTTTCTCCTATTGTTGCCAACCTGTACATGGAGGAGGTAGAAAAGAGAGCCTTGACGTCCTTTTCAGGGACACCACCAAGTCATCTGTTCAGGTATGTTGACGACACCTGGGTTAAAATCAAATCTCAGGAAGTCCATCATTTTACTGACCACATCAACTCTGTGGATAAATACATCAAGTTCACACGAGAAGATGTAAAAAAATGGCAGGTTGGCTTTCTTGGACTGTGAGGTCTCAGTCTCTGATAGAGGACATTTGCAAACTGAGGTGTACCGCAAACCCACCCACACAGACCAGTATTTGCAGTTTGACTCCCATCACCCTTTGGAGCACAAGTTAGGAGTCATCAGGACTCTGTATCACAGAGCAGACAGCGTCCCCACTAGCTCAGGAGCCAGGCAGAAGGAGAAATCCTACACAAGACAGGCTCTAGAGCAATGTGGATATCCTAACTGGGCCTTCCTGAAAGCAGAGAAGAAACCCAAACAGGACTCCAGTCAGCCAACAGGTGAAAAGGAGGAACCCAGACCCAGACCAGTGGTCATTCCATATGTTGAGGGAGTATCAGAGAAACTGAGACGTTTATTTTCTAAACATAACGTCCCAGTGGCTTTTAAACCCCAAAATACATTACGGCAAAGACTGGTTCATCCCAAAGATCCAGTCCCCCGG